GGCCTTAACGTTTGTTGTTCCCCTCGCCGTGCTCTACCTTTCTCCCTTATTAGAATTCATTTATGACCATTTCTTGAGTTTGGGTTTGAGGTCAAGTTGTGATTTTTATGGGGCTTCCTTCGGATTCATGTAGATTGTGTTGCCCCCGACAAAACCCTTCGGTTTCGGCGAATTCGGGACACTTTTTATTCGGTGGGGATTTGGGATTTTCATCCCAAATTGAGGTAGGTGGTGTTATAGGTTTAATTCTTGTCATATAACATGCTATTGATGCTTATACAACTTGATTGCATGCTTAAATATGAAATCTAGAGATTTTATTATTTAATTTTCTTGTATTGGATTTGATTTTTCCGGTTGCTTATGACTTGTTTTAAACATGTAGCATGGTAATATAATGCTCTATAATATGGTCATTGACATATATTAAATTGAGAGAATTTGAACAAGTATTAAAGATTTTATTTAATATTTATCTTGAATAAAATATTAAATCATATGGCCTTAACTAGCTTAAAATCAATATGTGTTAGCATATTAAATTAGGCCTTAGCATGCTCTCCAACATAGTTGAATTTGAAAGTAATTGGAGGTGTTTTGAAAATCAGTAATTATTAACTAAATTAATTAATTTATTTGCCCCGAGTGCACTATTCACTCTATTTGAATTCCGGTTGGATATTCTTGATTTACATACCATATAGCTTCACATATATTTGATTTAGAATATTCGGTTAGGTTTTGAAACCTTTTATTTAATTAAATTCCATGTTTAAGATTTAATCCTCATGGTGATATACAACTTGGAATTGTATTGTGGCATGCTAGAAAATTAAGTTGTGGTATGGTTTTTCACATATATTAAATTGGGATTTATTGCGTGAGAATTGCAACTTTTGTTTTATGTTTAACTTTAGTGAAAGTTTAATTCTCATGGTCGTAAATTGAATGAAATAAACTTGTAATATGATATTACATTAGTCCTTGACATGTTTTCCAACATAGGTTAATTTGAGAGCATTTGGTTAAATTTGAAAATCTAGAGATTTTAATTAAAAGAATTAATTAAAATCTATTTTGTGGTCCCATTAGCTTAATTAAGGTTTTAACTTGATATTTGTATTGGCCATGACTTGTTTACTAGTATATATTAATTTGGGACTATTTGAAGTTGTTTTAGAACCTTGGGATTTAAATTAGTATGATTTAATTAAAGTTCTACCTTGTTGTTGTATTGAAACTCATGAGCTTATGTTTTCAATATTGAATATATTGTTATCTTGCGTAATGATTTGCACACTTCATATTTAACATCATTCATGCATAGCGTGTAACGAATCGCACACTGAAAATTCTACATTTATCATATCATATTAGTTGTGGACTTAGAGCATGTATTGTATAGGTTTCCAAATTTGGTTGTGCTTGGTAGATAGTTGATTATCTTGCATATTCCTGTTGATATATGCGTTGTTGCACAACTTGTTGATTTTGGAAATTTGGGGATGTCGTTGTTTGGCTATGGCTAGGACGTGGTTCTAGTATGGGGAATAGTCCCTCTATGTAGTCTAGTGCACACATAGGGAGGTTACCCATGGGCTAGTAACCCTAAAGTAACTATGTTGTCGGTCTGATCCGGCGTGACGTCTGAGTATCCACTTTGTTGACTTCGCATTTCATTTTCAAGTTGATAACTAGATGATGTTGTAACTTGTTGTTCCTAATTTGTCTTTCCATTTTAAGTTACATGATGTTAACTTTGCGAAATTGTGTTTTATGTGTTGTATTGGAAGTTCCAATATTGGTTAAATTACATCGATATTGAAAATTGTGTTTTGACGTTCTAACATAGCTTAGGAATGATCCTATTGATTCATTTAGAACTTAGATGTTAGGTGGCATGACCCACTACTGTTATTTTGTGCTTCAGATTCTAAGTTGATGGTTTTGAGAACTTATACCTTGTTGCATTGTATAACATACTTTTTTGTTGTTGAATTGCATGGATAATGTAATTCTTGTTAACTTGTATTCAAATATGCTTTTGTCATGTTGCATGGATTCCTCTAGACTTTGTTCAATTACATTGATAATGTGATCCGTGGTAACTATAAACTCGTTGTATTAATCAGATTACTCCAACTTTGATTTGTTTCATTCATGTATTTATATCATGATTCTTGTTGCTTTGTATAACATGTTTCTATGTTATTGAAATGCATGAATGATGTGATTTATGCTAGAAACACTCTAAGGTAGCTTAGGATGCTCCCTGAGTCTCATTTCGATATAGACGTTAGGTGGCATGAATCCCTTTAACATGTTTCACCTTAAGGTGATAAATTTGTAAAATGCTAGGTCGATGCATGCTCATCTCCTATGAGTAGCTTTATGTTGCTCACCCCTACGATACTGGGGCATATTTCAGGTACGAAGACTTGGTTCGTGATGACTAGCATTCCTTGGATGTCGTGTAGTTTTCAAGTTTCCATTTCATGCAAATGTTAGCAGGAAATGTCATTTTGTAGACTTATATGTAAAATTTGTATATTTGATTCCATATATGTAATGTGTACTTAAGTACACTATTTTCAATATATTTGATATGTATGAGATGAGGCCGGAGGCCAATGACATGTATATTGTATTCTATGTAACTTTTTAACTTCATGAAATGTTATGAAAACCTTGAAAAATCGCAAGTCATTGCTTCACCACGATTGCATCGGGTGTGGGAATTCCATTTTCATTCTTTCATAGGGTCTTATTAATCTTGTATGAAGTGTGGCCAAGGGCCAAATGGTCATTTGACTCCATTTTATATTTTTGGATTCCATGTTTTCCATTCCAAGTCCATTTTTGCCTTTTTGCCCGTTGGGGGGTCGGATTTTGTATCGACTATATTTTTAAGCCATGGACCATTGTAGCACGTCCAAATAGGTAAGTTACGTTTGTGTGCATAGTCGTTTCCGGGCAAAACCTCATCATTTGTATTTTGAGCCTCCTACGATTTCATTTTGCGTTTTTGTTGCATATTCTGATCTAGGGGTATTCTAGACTTTTCAATTCAGTTTTATTTCCTTATTTCAACATGGTTAAATAGAAAACATGATTTTAGGGGGGGTTTCTTTTTCGTGTTTTTCCAGAAAATGTCGTATTGGCATCGGAAATCGCTTACGAAGTTCAGCTTTCAGTTTTCAATTTTGCAGTTTTTTCGACCCTCTGGACCAGATTTTTTGGGAGGGCATTTTGGGCATTTTACAGTGAGTTTTTTTTTAATTCTCTCACAAGTCACATACAAAACTCAATTTTGAGGGGGGTTTCTTCTTTGTATTTTTCCAGAAAAATTCATCTACTAGCCCGTTTTTACTCTCTGTTCTGGCTGTTTCTGGAAAAAAAAAAATGCTTGTAGCAGCTTTTTGGGTCCATCTTGACCTAGGCTGTTCAAGGGACATTTTAGGGACTTTACATCATTTTTTTTTTGGTTTCTTCTGCATAGTCGGGTAGAAAACATGATTTTAAGGGGGGTTTCTTCTTCGTGTTTTTCCAGAAAAACTCGTTTAAGGGTCCGTTTTTTGCCTCGGTTCTGGAAAAAAATTTTAATTTGAGCTTTCTGTCAAAACACTATTCCTGCCCAGATTTTTGAACCCGGAAAGTTGATATTTTTTTGAAACTTTGAGGCTTCATATCTTTTTCGTCCCGACTCCAAATCAAGTGATTTTTGAGTCTAAGTTTATTAGTTTTTACTGGTCTATCCAAAGGCATGGATGGTTGTATCCAATTCTATCTAAAAAGACCATTTTACCCCTTACAAAGTACCCTTGCCACATTGATTTGAACTTAGAAGTCTATTTTTTTGAAATTTTGAGGCTTCATATCTTCCTTGCCCGGACTCCGAATCAAGTGATTCTTGAGTCTATATTTATTAGTTTTTCCTTGTCTATCTAATGGTATTCTTAGTTTTATCTGGTTTTGTCTAAAAAGACCAGTTTAAGCCTTGTAAAGTACCATTGCCGCACTTGTCTTAAAAACCCAAAAGTTCGATTTTATGAAACTTTAGAGTTTCATATCTTCATCAACCGGACCCCAAATCATGTGATTCTTGAGTCCATCTTGGTTAGTTTTTCATTGTCTTTCCAGTGGTGTGCTCGGTGGCACCGGAATCCGTACTTTCCAAAATGACTATTTTGCCCCTAGGGGCTTATTTGTCATATTTTTGACCTTTTGCTTCCGCATCAGTTCTCATTGAGTTGCACGACCTCATGGAAGGTCACTTTGACTTCTTAGAGTCTTGTTTTCTATTTTCGCTTCCGCTAATCGGATCCGTTATCAGGTCAATTTTCGGTTCATCACAGGACACGCTGGCCTAAAAAACCAAGGTCGTCACAATTATATAAGCCTTGACCATTGGGCAAACTGAAAAATTTAATTTAATTAAAAATTTAAAAATAAAATAAAATTTTATTTTTTAATTAAATTAATGGGTTTGTGTGTGAAAGGAAGAAGATGATATACATACATATATATATATATATATATATTGAAGTGAAAGGTAGGGTATTCCTTAAGTTAACTAAGGGCCGTTTTGTAATTGTGTATTGGTGAACTGAGGTTAAAGATATCATTTTAGACATTAGAAAGGTAAAATTGACTTTTTAACAATTTGTTGATGCTGACATCAACGCACACCGTGAGTTGCTTAACAGCATGAAATAATTTGCTACAAAAACCAAAATCTTAAGAGAAATCGGTAGAATATTGAAACGTAAAGAATGTATAAGTGGAATATAGACAAACGTTAGTGTGGGAGGGACAGTACAAGAACAACCTACCGACTAGGATGTGTTCACAAAGACAATATTGAATTGAAGTTCTAGTATTAGTTTCTTAAAAACTTATGAAATACGGCAAAATTATTAAATACTGGTGGATTGGATTGAAAAAATGGTCCTGGTATTAATACATTTAAAATGAAATTTTAATCTTACTTTTTTATTGAATCACCCTACTACTTCGTACCAATGATCAAGAGCATCTAATAATATCTCATGAAGCGACACCCACTTTTCCGGAATTGCATCTAATAATTTTCTCGTGAAACAAAACACTTTTCCGGAATTGCTGATTTCCAAATTGTTACGACTCTTTACTGTACCATCTTGGATAGAAAAATGATTGTCAGTCTCCAATTGTCCCTGCCACTATCATGGAGATATCGCCACCAACAGCCACCACCGCCACAAGTTGCACCTATATTGACCACCCTTTGCTTTCTGAGCAAACAAGGCAAACGCCTCCTCTCCTCCCTCGCCACCACCAGCGCCGCCGGCGATTCGTCAGCCGCCAATCGCTTAATTCGCAAATTTGTACAATCTTCATCCAAATTCGTAGCTCTCAACGCCCTCTCTCATCTCCTCTCCCCTGACTCCACCCATCCACATCTCTCTCCTCTCGCTCATCTAGTAAATTAACCCCTATCCATATATATATATAGTATAGTATACACACACATTTACATTTTTTTTTATGTACATGTATAGACACACACTATGAAGTTTTGTGGCTAATTCTCATGGACTGTGAATTTATATTTGCAGTTCTATATGGCAATCACCGAAGCGTCTTGGTTCAGTTGGAACCCTAAGCTAGTGGCAGAACTAATTGCTTTGCTTGATAAGCAAGGACAGCTGGATAAATCACAGATCTTAGTTTCTGAAACTGTTTCAAAGTTAGGGTTCCGGGAACGCGTACTCGCTCAATTCTACTGCTATTTGATTGATTCTCACTCCAAGCACAAATCGAAACAAGGGTTTTTCGATTCCTGCACGCGTCTGAAGCAGTTGCTCAGCAATTCATACTCTGTTTTTGTCAAGCTTCGGGCATATGAATCAATGGTTGGTGGCTTGTGTGTGATGGATCTACCTCGTGAAGCGGAGGGTTTGGTTGGAGAGATGAGAGATTTAGGGCTCAAACCAGGTGTGTTTGAGTTTAGGTCTTTAGTGCATGCCTATGGGAGATTGGGATTGTTTGAAGATATGAAGAGAAGTGTAGTTCAAATGGAGAGTGAAGGGTTTGGAATAGATACAGTTTGTTCAAACATGGTGCTTTCGTCGTTCGGAGCTTACACTGAGCTCTCGGAGATGGTATCATGGCTTCGAAGAATGAAGAATTCGAGTGTCCCATTTTCAGCTCGGACATATAATTCAGTCTTGAATTCGTCCCCAACGATCATGTCAATGCTTCAAGAACCGAAAAGGGTTCCTCTTTCGGTTGCAGAGTTGACGGAGAATTTGCACGGTGATGACGCTCTGTTGGTTCATGAGTTGATTGGGTCATCAGTTCTGGAGGAGGCAATGGAGTGGGACTCTCTGGAATCGAAGTTGGATATGCATGGAATGCACTTAGGTTGTGCCTATTTGATAATGTTACAGTGGAAAGAAGAGCTGCACTCAAGGTTCCATATGAAGGACTCAGTAATTCCAGCTGAGATTACAGTGGTATGCGGGTCAGGAAAGCATAGCACTGTTAGGGGCGAGTCACCGGTGAAGAGTCTGGTTAAAGAGATGATGCTTCGGATGAAATGTCCGATGAGAATCGACAGGAAGAATGTTGGATGTTTTGTTGGCAAAGGGAGAGTGGTGAAAGAGTGGTTATGTTGAACCCTTCTGCAGGGCCTTTCTGGAGTTGAGTGTTCAAAAGGAAGGAAAATGGTTTGCAAGGGAGGAAGAGTTGGTTTACTTGAACAAATCCCTACATATGAAAATCAAAGTAGTCTAAATTTTGAGATAGGTTTTCAGCTGTTAGTCAGGTCACCTAATACGATGATACTTGTTTAACTATGAAGAACAGTTTTTATTCAGATATTTCAGATGCTGAGTTATTTTTTATGCAGTATTAAGGTTTCCCAGGCTAGGAATACATATGAAGCAGCATGCATACTACAAATATGAAATCCACAACCAGTTGCAAATTACATTAAAATAAAAAAAAAATAAAAAAAATGATAAGTGGGCTGTAATACCAGTATCAAATGATGTTTTACACGTACATGGGAATAGTAAACATACACCAAGAGAGCAATGGAAGGAAACAAAACTCATTGCCTCAATCATGGTTCTATTTCTCTCTGACATAACCCCTTGTAGCACTGTGGGCTTGTTGAAGCATCATATAACATATCACAGAAGGAAGAGGGAAGGTAATATATTTTTTCATTTCCCTCCAAATGTCTCATGTTCAGCAGGTATGACTTGCAAACATCAGCATCTAATATTTCAATGTTGTGTTCCATTTGAACGTTACGCATGGAAGTCTCTCCTTGCCTACTACATCTGGTGATTCATCCTACAGGGCAGTGCTAATGCCATCTCCGGCCATTCTTCTCCTCTTTATCATTCATTGGAATTCTTAGAAACCAATAGGCCAATAACCTAACGGTATCAAACTCCTACCTCTCAAAGGGGGGAGGTCAAGGGTTCAAGTCTCAGTGGAAGTATGTGCGTGTGAGTACCAACTAAGAAAAAAAATAATAATTTCTTAGGAACAGGATACAGGTGGTCCTTTCCGGGAAACAAAACTTCAACAACAGCCGTAAGGAATCAGTCATAGTACTAGGTAAGTAATGTGAAAATAGAGCAATGCAGCTAAAGGAATGCTCTTTCGGATAGGTCAAGTCTTTATTAACTGAGACTCAAGGTCACTGTAAGGAAAGGGAAAAACAGCATTTCACCATTATGTCACTCTAAGGTGATACCACAAGTCATTGTCTATTTGAACATTGCAAGTTAATCAGTTGAAATGATTTGACATAGTACAATTTAACATTCTGAGAGCTCTTGTTTACCATACAAAAGGAACCGGTCACACAAAAAAGAGAGGAAGAGAGAACAATAACAACATTCCAAGTGTTATTGTTACTAACTTTTCCTGTGCAAGCAATTTAGACAACTGATATCCTCCCTGCATCCTGGATTGCTACTTGAACAAGAAGATAGCATGCTCTAGTTGCATCGCCACGGAATCAGAGATTGGCAATTGGGAGAAATTAGCCGCAATAAATAAGAGGGTTTCCTGCAAATGGACAAATAATGGGACTTCAAAATTAAATAGTGCAGTAAGAAACTTCCTTCAGAAAATGAGAGATATGAAATTTTGCTAAATGCGGCCACCCAACCCCCAAAAAAAAAAAAAAAAAAAAAACAATATCCAAATCTGTTCAGATGATTATGGGTATCCAAAAATTTTATCATAGAAGCGGCCATGATCAATGATTTTTTTGGACAAATGATTTTAGTGACAAAGGGTAACAAAGCAAATCATTTATTTATTTTTATTTTTTTTTATTTATTTATTTTTTTTTTTTTATGGTGCTGATTACAGTTCATCTCTATGACATATAAATACTAACTTAACTGATAAAACACTAACCTCTTAGTGGCAGGTAGTATGTCAAAAAGGCGCCTGCAGTGGGGAAGATGGAATAATATCAGAATGCCCTTTGCAGACAAAGTATTTGTCAAAAAACGATTTAAACTGCATCTCCCATGGGCCATGTGCTGCCAATGAAAGTATGGTAGTATCAATGGGCTTGGGTTTCTCTATATGATCTTCTCATGCATGTAGCAGGCAGTATCAAAGGTCCTGAACTCTTCCACCATCATCTGACTTGAACAACAAATACATAGGCCCCAAAACACCCATTAGCAAAAACTTTATTTGACTAGATGTGCATGAAATCACAAACACAAGTTCAAAGTCAATATTCTTCCTTGAGCTCCATCCTCACAAAGATCACCCGTGTAGTCAGTAATGTTGACAGTACTTAGCAGGTGTTTCCATGCATAAACACCACAAGGAGCATCTTAAAGTTCCCAATCACATTATAATGCCTGCCAGAAAAGCCAAATAACCCCCATGACAATGCCAACACAAAATTTACCATCTGGTAAAATTTTCTACATCTGCTTTTATATCAATCAGCAGAGGAAAGCACACCACATTCTATGAATACCATTGACCTGCAAAATAAAAGATAGTTTACCATATTAACTGCTAAGAAACATACAGCAACTGTATGATGGATCCTAAATAACAGTGCATCCAAAAAGCTTAAGAGGGCAATGATAATGTTAAAGAAGCTGACAGATGAAAATAAGTGGATCTTATGAGGTAAATCAGCACCATACACGATAGAATACCTTCAGTTTTTTCAGTAGGAGACACAATAATGAATGATAGCAACAAAAACTAAAATTTATAAGGAGTGATAGCATTTTCAGAGCGCAGGTCTTTAAAACCTGTATGTCTAAATTTTAAATATCAATAAATATATGTTACGATATGTAAGTATTATAACTAATTATAGTATTTAATCATAAACTACCATGTATTTAATGGATTTTAGAATATATAAAAGAAGATATCCACAATGAAAGCTATTTACTTGTTAAGACAATTAGTTGAAGAATGTAGGAGAAAGCAAAAGGATCCACATATAGTCTTTATAGACCTAAAGAAAGCAACGATATGGTGCTGAGAGATATAATTTGGTAGGCTTTGCAAAAAAAAAAAATCCTTTAGATATAATTTTCCTTGGTGCATGTTGTTTGCCTATGACATAGTACTATAAAACACTTCTAAAGAAAACTCAGTAGAAAGGTGGAGAAACGTGTTAGAATCAAGGTTGTTAAAATCGGGATTCTACGCAGAATCGTTTTGGGCTCCGTAGAATCGGAATCGTAGAATCGGATCTTGAATCGTAAGATTCTACCAAATTGTGAAAAACCAATTGAAACTAACTTCTTAAACAATAAGATCTGTAAAATATAACAAAAATGAGGCTAAAACACAAAATATTACATATCCATGAGTTCACAAATCTCAAATCCTAACAATATTTCAAAATCTGAATATAAATAAAAAAGAATGTAGCTCAAAATAACATGAGTTTACAAATCTCAAATCTTAACTCATCCATCTTCAAAGTTAGAAACTAAAATTACATATCAAAAGGAAATTTTTTTTTTTTTTTTTTTTTTTTGAACTCTGCAATTTCCACTTTTTTTTCTTTTTTTTTTTTTTTTTTGTTCTTTTCGAAAACTGAAGAAATAAAAAGACCTTTTTGTCCACCAATCCAAGTGTTACGATGTATGTGACCTTATTAGTCACAAGTATGAAATTAATCAAGAGTTAGCACAACAAAATTAATGAACCACGTGCTAACTCGATCTCAGATCTCATTATATTATTAGTTTAGACTACAATATTATACCTTGGTTAGCATATCCGGCAAGTCTTTTAAGCTTTTAAATTATTTTTAATTTTTAATATATATGATAAGTCTTCAAAAAAAAAAAAAAATTGGTCAAATGAAAATATTGATCATGAAACCAAAATTTGCCTAAATGTGTTAGTCACGAGTTTGCATCCTTGAGATATAATAGATCATTTTAATTTTTTATAATTAAACACAAAAATATATTATGGAACATCGACATGTATGGTAAAAATAATTGATATATATACATATATATATATATTTCTTTTTCTGCCAATAATGAAAAATAATTTATATTTTATAGAATAAATATTTAACTTTGTATACTATACTTGGGCCAGGCCTCTTTTATTTTGTAGCCCAGAAGAAGCCAACCAAAAAATAAAAAAAGCCCAACCCAAACAACAAATTTTGTAGAATCGTGTAGAATCGTACGATTCTACCTCCGATTCTACGATTCTATCCCCGATTCTACCGATTCTACCCCCGATTCTACCAATTGAGCGATTCTGCTACGATTTGACTCGATTTTGAGTTTTGAGTCGTAGAATTGATTCTACGACTCAGAATCGCGATTTTGATAACCATGGTTAGAATCAAAAAGGTTAAGGGTTAGTAGAACTAAAACTGAATATATGGAATGCAAATTTAGATGAGGTAATGATTACACTTCAAAATCAAAGAACTATCCAAAGTGCACACTTTTGGAATCTAATGTCATTTATGCAAGAGGATGGTGAGATAAAATGGTGATATAACTAGTAGAATTGGCACAAGTTGGACAAAAAATGGAGGCAAGCTAGTGGCGTTTTGTGTGATAAACGAATGTTATATAAACTTGAAGGAAAATTTTAAACAACAGTTATTAGGCTAACTATTTTATATGGTACAGAGTGTTGGGCTTTGAAAAAGAAGCACGAATAACGAATTCACGTACCGGAAATGAGGACATTAAGATATATGATAGGAGTCACTAGAAGAGATGGAGTTACAAACCAAAATGTGAGGGAGAAATTAAGCATGACACTTATTAGTGATAAGATTAATGAGAGTAGTAGACTTAGGTGGTATGGACACATACATAAAAGACCTATAGATGCACTAGTGAGAAGAAGAAGGTTAATTTGCAGGGAGGGTAGGTGGAGAGAGTGCCTGAAATTGACATGGGATGAAATTATTAGAAATGATTTTAGAAAGTTAATTAGAGGAGATATAGCTTGTGTTGAAAGAGAGAGAGAGAGAGTTTATGAAACGTATATGTTATTGAGTCGGTAATACAATAATACAATGGTGTTTATCTAGGAGAAGCTACGGGAGTAGGTGAGTGGAGAACAAGTAAACCCTATATATAGTAATTCTATATATGGTAATGAGGGGTAGGTGACAACTCAAATAATACTGACTGTACACGTGTGACAACTCATACAATACTGTACAAAAGCTTGCAATAGAATATAATGTAAAAAGATAATTCATTTCTGACCCCATTCGTATGGGATTCAGGCAAGGACGACGATGATGATGATGAGAATATATAAAAGAATTTTCATACAAAAAGGAAGGGCATATTTGGATGACATCATGAGCCAGAGGTTAAAAAAGAAAGAGATGAGAATACCATGTCAAGTGATACAACGGTAAACTATGTTCTCAATATTTGCTAATTCTTAGTATCAACCTTTCTAGAAAGCAACAATTGCAAATATGAAATATCTAAGAAGCACAGATACGAGCATGAGATACGGGTACGATAAGATACGAATATGGGGATACGGAAAATCTTAAAAAAAAGAAAAAGAAAAAGGACACAGATATGGCAGGAATACGTCAAAAATAATAACATAATTTTTTCTCATTTTATCCTTATCATGAATGAAATCACAAATTTGGAGAGGGTTAAGAATTCAAATTTATTTTATTTTCTAAAATTTTATATTATTTTTGTAATTAACTTATAATATATTGTAAAATTGCATTGGATTCACATTTTTTAAGAAAAATAATTACAAAACTACCTTGCAGTGTCTTGAAAGTGTCTCAAATGTGCCCATACCATTTTCCAAGACATGACCAACAAGAAAAAGAAAAAAAAAATCAAGTTCTAGGACACTAAAATTGTGATGGACGCGTGTCTGAGCCGTATCCCACTATCCAAGCCGCGTCCCACGAGTGTCTGCCACGGAACCCTAAGAGAATTGTCTGTACCTCCTAGGCAAAAATCTTGATTGCTTCAATTATGGGTCGTTGCCTGATGCCCTCGAGTCCATATAACTTGGTGGAAGTGCATGAAACATTCATTAAAAGGGAGAATGTAAGATTCGTGTTCTGAAGATGTCCTATCCATGCTTCACTAATTATCAATCTGCAAATTCCTATAGGATCCACTCTAAATTCATAAGATTGTGATTTAAAGCCAGATGACTGCTCCAGACACGCAGATTAGGCGACTCCGTTCTAGATTGGACTAGTAAAATACCTGTTAAGCCAAAGATATAAACTGATATAAATTGTATTAAAAAAGGCCAACAGACCTAATCCATATTTATCATCCTACGTACTTGTTGCTCTTTATTTCTAATAATGTTTTGTCCTTTTTGTCCACAATAGAGAAGAACTGCCATTCGTACTCTCTTTTCACTATTTATGCATATGCAACACTCTTTTAAGCAAATCAGGAAGATTTAACTTATATCGGAAGGTAATGATATCAATCTAATTGTAAATTTATAAAGCGGAAAGCTTTAGATTTACAATTTGTTATCCAAACAACCTACAGGTAATGATAGAAATCAACTATTTGTACAAAAATACATGTTGTGTTCATGGGGGTGCAAGTTGGACGGGTTCAAACCGGCCCGAGATTTTTCAGGCCTGGACTTGTTATTTCATCAATTCGGGTTTGGCTCGGGTTGAATTTTTTCAACCCAAGCCCATTTGGGGTTGGACTCCGGTTAGAAAGATTCTAACCCGAACCCGATTTTCATATTATAATATTTATTTACTTTTATTTTAAAATTTCAGATTAAATGAACTCTCCAGATAACCCTAAATGAACTTCTCTTTTTCTTCATTCCACTGAGAATCCATTGCCGCCCCTTGCTCTCACCACCGCTGCTACCGCCATCGCGCTCTCACCACCGCCGATCATCTAAGCTTGTGAATGTGTGGAGATTTCTCCTTCTTGAACTTGCCTGGGGTTGATGGGATGCTGTCAATGTGGGACATTTGGTTCATTTGTATTAAAAAAAATAAAAAATGATTTTTCTCCTCTTTTGAGTCTACTTTTCTTAGGGTTTCTGGGAATGTGGTGGAAAATTTAGGGTTTGGGTTTGGGTTTGGGAAGTATCTCCTTTTCAAGTTTTGGGTTCAAAAAATTCTCTCTTGAGATAAGAGATAGACAAAAGGGTTTGTTGGTGACTTGGTGGTGGTGGTATTCAACTTTCCTCTTTATTTATGGAATCTTTCTGGTTTCTTGGAGGTACTGGTTATTATTTCCACTTTTGTGGGTTTGGTTCTACATATGAAAGATTTTTTTGTTTTTATTTTTCATGTTTGATTAGGCAATGGGTGAATGGAGAGAGAAAGGAGAGAGAATGGACTTTGGAGATGGAGTAATGAGGAAGGAGATGAATGGGTCTGAAGAATTAAAATGGACAAATGGAGATAAGAAGGAGATCAAGAAAACTGTAATTAATGACTGCATTGATTGGTTGGAGGCGGCCTTGTATGGCATCGGGTTTGGAATAAAAATTAAAATTGCGGGCCAACCCGAAAACTCCAAAAATTGTTGGGTCCCGGTTGACAATCTTAACCCACAATTGTGTTGGGGCGGGTTGGCCCAAGGTTGGGTTGGGTTTGGACCTGCCTAACTTGCACCCCTACATGTTCATATCAAGTTTACCGATGTTTTTCCCCCTACTTGACTAGAGCACAATGTACTCTGACGCAACTTGAGTGATTTAGCCAAAGTTCTTTCAGCAGGAGATTCCCCAAATGCAGAGAGGAAGACAATGATGGTGAATATAGCCATTTGAAAAACAACATAAAGAAACCATAAACATAATGAGTGGAGGAATACCAAATAATTGAATTGTTCAAGTTGTTTCTTACTGCAAAGCTTTTGGCAACGACCTATTAGGAACACCCAACAAAAAATTAACTTAAACACTTGTAACAAATAATAGACTTAAAAAAAAATCAAGAAAGGTATTTACAGGTCTAACATTATACACAACCTCAACATACCTGCACTTCCATCCTCTCTTAGAAGAAGGCAATGCAGCTGTTCATGAACAAAAAGCTGTCGAGTTCTTAACTGCAAGAACCTCCAGCTTGGATATTGGTGGTTCGATACGACCTACAAGGCTCCACTTATAGATATTGGCTACTGTTACTCTGACTCAGCAAATACTATAATTACTCAATCAATCAAAAGAAATGTCAGGTCACCAGACTCAGCAAATGCAAAACCAGATTGTTACTCCTAAAACCAAGGCATCCACCATATATACATCTTCCCAAGGTTTTTGTGTGAAACTGCTTCGGCAATCAAGCGACGTGCCTGCCCTTCTACAGCAAGAGGCAAAGATGGTGCTGCCCCAACACCAACAACAACTCCCTCCAGCCGTGCTTCAATATTACTTATGGCTCGCTGCAGTTTCCAGACACAGCATTCAACAAGGTTATTCTTTAAAAAATAAAAAAATAATAAATTAAAAAGAAGATGAAGAGTGTCCCACAAATTGATCTGTTTAAACCAATTTCACAAAATCAAGAATCAGGTAATTTAGGGCAAGTGGAACCAGTGACTACTGTCACATCACCCATAATCTTAGCAACATAATTGATGTAAACGAAATTTGTTGGTTTAGTACACAGTGTCGACATAAAGTCCTTGTGGATACTTCTGGATTCAGACAAATTCCAGAATGTGGCCAATTAATTGTCGACCCAATCACAACAAACTAGTAGTTTGCTCCAAAGAAAGCTTGTCAATTCAGCCAAGCCACACAATTTTTTTTTACTTAGAAGGCCTTAAAAGTTGACCAGGGACAATTTTTACTTTAAGGCTTGAAGCGCTAACTTCATTAAACTTCTTAAAACATGAAAAAGGAGAAAAATTGAGACTTAAACCTGTGCGTGGGGGTTCTGAACTTCTACTCCACTGGACTTGTGAGATTTAGTCCATTCCACAAGGGGGTCATGGATGAAAGTTTCAAGAACACTCATTAAAGTCTCCCTGTGAGCCCTGAGAATTGAAAGCGTAATCTCACAGACCTTTAAGAAGATGCCCTCATATCCAGTAATACCCAAGCCATCAATCATGTTCTGCAAGTCCCAAAAGAATTAGGAATTCAAGAAATATTAGCAAAAGGAATCTATATAATTAGGAAATCTGACAGAAAATATCATGAACAAATTGAAAACACTTAAAAAGCACTCAAGTGAGAGAACAGAATGCCTTTAAAAAGACTAAATTATTTTTCAGTGTAATCAATGAATTTGAGTTCTTCCTCTTCTTTTTTCCCCCCTGAAACTAGAAGGGCATCCCCACCCCTATGGGAAAGATTGATCCCCTCTGGACACGTTGCAGGCCGCAATGCCACAGGCCAATTTTAGTCCACTGAAATTCCTATGAGGTTGACCTCAAGGAAAAATAATCAAACTCAACAACTCCACCTTATAAGTGCACCTTAACTAACTCTTCCACCCCCTTGGGGTTGGAATTCGAATACTTATTTGCATCATGGTAACAATATTTATGTCAGACTGCCAAATTGCACCACAAAATTTCGTAGCATATGATTAAATTAAGCAAATTGCTTAAGTCAAGACTTGTTAATAACTATAGAGGGTTTTGGTCAGAGCTCAAGACATATACATCCACGTGTTTTCTTACCTGGGTTAGCCTGAAAGGCACTAGTTCAGGTTTCTCCAACTGCAAACCTTTGTCGAATAAGCAACTAAAATCAACATGAACACAGTCACCTGTGGTAGAATCAAAAAGGATATTCTCACCATGCCGATCTCCAAGGCCCACAATGTGTCCTACCATTGACCAAACTGCAGTAGTGTGTGCATAGGCGACTCGAGCCCTAAACCAAGCAGCTGGTTCTGAAAACGTGTTTAAGAACCATTTGTGGAAAGCAGGAGGGAACATTGGAAGGATTTTGTTCTTCAGCAACTCATCTTCTGGAATTTTACCTTGGCATTGATCGTAAATTCGCTTGATTAGAGGATTTGTCTTCTGCCTGTCAAATTTCCCACAACTTATATAAATGTCTTGAAGTATATGTCGAAGACCTCGAGTGTGGGGCACCCATTCTACCATACCACAGTCCTCTGTTAGAGGAATCACTGCAAATGTGCGAATATAAAGTTTCCTCCTGCGACTTTCTGGACATTTGGATAACAAACGGTTTATCATTGCATTGAATTCCATCATGCGCGCATCTTTCCTGAGGTCATCCTTGGGTTTGCAGAGGAATGGGCGTTCGATGCCATCACTGCCCAAAAGAACGACCTGTAAAACACCAAAATAGTGGAAATTTGTTACAAACACGATGGATGGTACCATCTTCAAATACTATCAGGATACACAAACAAGTGCATAAAGGATGAGACTCGTGATTCAATAGGCCTTCCAAAGAGGTCTATGACTCAAAATCAAAACAATTGTACTTTAAAAACATAAAGTTTAGAAAGTATCTGAACTCTTACAACTATCTTATCAGATCAATGACAGCATAAAGGTCCAGCATGTGTAGAATTGTCACTTCTTTTTGTGCATGCTAGGATTATGGATTTTTGCCTCTCTGGGTCATAATTTTCATATCAATTCAGTATATATGAAGAATAGGTATGCCCATTCATATAAGAAAATTTATGTCACTCCACACCATTTTAGGGTGCGTTTTAAGTTATAACTTTGAACTCATTGAACAAACAAATAATGAATTACAGGAAGAACTAATTTTTAGAAACATATCTGAAGAAAACGCATATTGAAGCAGACTGATTCCAAGCACCGATCATACAAAGCTTACCTTCTTTGGTCGCTGAAGAGATGAAAGAATCTCAGCCTCATCTGTGATTCCTATTATTGTAGGAAGATCTGTGGTTAAAAAGATATCAGATGGAAGCAAGTCAGTCAGATTCACATCATAGGTAGGTAGATTAACAGTGAGGGATTGTTGGATGGGCATTATGATATCCAGCGGCATCATCCTCTTCAATGCACTAAATTCAGTTGAGAGATTGATTGTCCTTGCCTTTGAGTGGCCCCCATGGAAGCACAACTTAATTAGATGATCAATCACCGTAGCAAATTGAACAAACTGATTGTTGCCACTGATTCCCTGGTTGGACTCTCTTCGTGCAGCTGATATGATTTCTGCAGCAGCCTCCCTCCTTGAAGGAACTGTGGATTTTGAAACTGCTGCCATAATCCAAAGGGCTTGCTGGGGGTATTGCCGGAGAACAGAGGTAATGATGCATTTGACCAACCGAACAATTTCAACATTTTGATGGCAAATTCTAGAAACCAATTGAGGCAAGACAGTTAACCACTGATAGGTGGGCAGATCCTTTAAACATCCTCGCATGATGCTCAGTACCTGCAAAGATAAAAAGGTGAAAACAGTATTAAAAAAAAAGTACAAAAGATGGAGGCAATAAAAAACTACAATTTTCTTGATATGCATTAAAAAAAAAATTTAAATATATATATCTCAAAAGTGAAATTATTACCTTTCCTTGAACATTCTTCATATCTTTATTGGATGACAAACCACTTCTTTGATAAAAGCTGCCAAATTCAAACCACAGGGTTAACAACCTTGGAAGGGCTTGGAAGAGATTCTTATGGCCCCTATGAAGACCTTTTGCATAAAATAACAATACATCAGGAAGGTAGGACCACCAATGCTTTTCACTACTTAAACTTGTAGAAACAACAGTAGCAGAAGTCGATGGGATCATCCTGCAACCTAGGCTACCTAGCTCAGGATTCTCTTCCTGCCGTTTCCTGGCATCAGCAAATACTTCATCACAATACTTAGCCATATAAAAGTATCCTTTCTCCCACTTGGGCTGCAGTTCCCTCACCCTAGAATAAAGAGTTATTACATCTTCCTTCTGCTTCTGGCCAGTGTAATGGATCCACCTCGAGTATAGGAGGAGGGCTTTTGCAATATCTCGATTCTCATTTAGAGTCTGGGTATCAGCGAGTAAAGGTTGCGGGTTCAGTGGAACCAATGAAAGGCTGGTGATTGATGATATTGCAGCAGAGCCTATGACCTCCACAGGCATGTTAAGGAGAGTTTGTTGCAGCTCTGCAATGGCACCATCAGAACGCCTAGTGCTCCACAAAAGCTTAGCCTTTTCCATGTGAACATTAGAACCACCTGAACCCTTGGCTTCTAGTATTGCGCGGTTTGCAGTTTCGTAATGACCAGCCGAACGACAGAGTTTTGCATATTGTAGCCAGCAGTTGGCAACTTGAGCCCTGAGACCACTAGCACCAAAAACAAGTCTTCGAAAAGCCAAAAGTGGCTCCCTCGCCCAGAGCGATGGTTGTGTAAATCTGAGCCTATTTTCCCAGTTTTCCACCATTTTTGAGAATTCCGATTCATGCAGACAGAATGATTTCTTCAAGAAAGACTCACCGGCAAGGAGAGCATGGAAGTCTTCTAGCTCCCGTAGCATGTGAAGCTTTACAACAAATGGGTAAGCCCGTGTGTAGGAATCCATGCCAGCAGCAGCCAAAGGAGCAATCAGACTTTGTTTGGACAATGCAATTTTTTCAGCAACAGAGAATTGGTCTTTCTTCATCATAGCCTGCAGTATCTTTGCAACATCCATGTCAAAGGAAGCATTACTCTCAGAGCTGCTACAAAGTAAACCTTCTTCATCAGCCCCATTAAGATACTCATCCATCAAGTCCCACCTGCCAAGCCTCCACGCAGCCTGAACACCTTGCATACACCACGTTTTCTTGTACTGAGGAATCCTAGAAATTAGTCCATCTACATGAGTAACCATGGCCTGTAAATGGCACATGTTAAGCAGACAGTTAAGAACATCTGAATGCCCCTGAATTGACGTGGGTTCCATCTGTAAAGCCTGCTCACAAGAAGTCAAAACTTCCGCCCAGTTTCCTGCTTTCTTGTTTATCAAAATCTGATCTTGCAAGCTTTTAGATTTACGCAGACATGCCAAACCAGATAAGCCATCAGGCTCATCCAAACCGCTGTATATTTCCATTAGAAACGAGACATCTTCATCTTCAAATATGCCACTCCTCTCAGCTGCTGGGTTGAAAGATCCTGACTTTTCCAGCACCCGAGATTCAAAGTACAACAAGGACCTAGCATAAGCTTGACACCTGAAGGAGGCCCTAGCAAGAGTCACCTTAGGAATTGCAGTCAAAAGCTCCGAAACATATTTGCATTGCAAAAGGAGTTGTTCTGAATCCATTGAAGAATTTGTATTCTGATCTTTTAACTTGGAAACTGGTTGCTTCGAGTTTGAGAGTTGAAGAGACTGGGAAAGAGCAATTTCTTGTTCAACATCATCCACCCATTGACCAAGATTATCAAGCAGAGTGAACACAGCTTGAATACAAACTTCACCCTGACCAGAACTTACAACGCTATTTACTGCTGCAGAACCCTCAGATGCTGCAGCATCAAGAACGGATAGGATCTCCTCTGTGATGCCATGGCGTGCCTCCTCAGTACCATGACAGACGGCATTGAGAACCAAATATGGCAGCAGATATATTGCTGTTTGCATATCATGACGCACTATACCTCGACAAGCATTAAAAATGCCCACACGAGAACCCGTTGCATGGACAGTCAATTTCTTTATCCAGAAAAATATCCACCTCCTAAATGACATAGAAGGCCGATAAATAGGACCAGCAGATGCAGAATCTGCCACATTTGGAAGCTGAAATCTTGAGGTTAAGCAAGGGGCAATTATCTCTTTGACATAATTAGAGAAACGATCCCACAATCTCTGACCCCTCCCATTCATTCCATTGCAATTGTCTATGCACTTGATCCCAGAAGAGACATTTGGAGGTTGTTTGTTCTTCCATGTCTCTGACATAGAAGCTGTAACATTTTCATCCAATGATCCCCCACAACCAGCAATTTTTAGCAGCTCCTGTATGGCCAATGCAGCTGAGTCTTGGATAATGGTGTCAGGTGCAGCTCTAAAAGCCCTGGCCAGGTGTTTGTGGATCAACTCAAAGATTAGATCATCATCTGAACAAGCAATTTTAAAGCGCTGGCTTGAGAAACCCTTTACTTTAGCAGGGTCAACTGCACCAAGTGCTCCAAGACAATCAGCACAAACCAACTTCAGTCGCTGTCCAACTAAAGTCCTTGATTCTTCTGCACAACCTCTAAGCAAGGATGTAGCCAAAGAGCTCAAGACTTCCATATCTGAACCAACTTCCCCCGTGACCACAGATGTGATATCATCCCTTCTAACGTTCAGCAGTTTCCTGAGCTCGCAAGCTACCATATATCTAACATTCAGATTCTCATGATTTAACCCATCAACAGTATCTCGCATTTGGTCCTTCAAAGTCATTGATCCACGTGCTTCCTGGATCACACTGTTCACTTCTGAAAGGGAAGGAATGCTGGGCAAAGGAGGAAACTCATGGATATGCTGCTTTAGGATATCCCTGTTCTCAAACACAAGTTCTTCCAAGATCTCCACAATTTTATTTAAATTTGAGGAAGAATTTTCTTTGTCTCTCTCCAACAAAGGAATAAGAGCAGCAAAAACTTGAGATATTACATGTTTAGTGCTAGATGGTGACACTTTAACTAATTGCTTAATGAAAAAACGCAACACAGAGAGACCCTCACCCTGGAGTGATTCCTTATCAATAGCATGCATAAGAAGAACCATAAGTTTTGGTACATAAGTGCTAAGGTAAGAGCCCATCATATTGATCAGCATCTCTATACGTTTCATGGCTTGTTTCTGAAGTGACAGATCCTCCACATGCAGCATTTTTCTATCAATACTGTTAAGAAGACCAACAAAATGATTCCTCAAGAAGACCGGGAGATCTTCAGTGCCAGTAAGAATTCTTGCAACTTCTTTTATCATCCGAGGTACCCTCGCTAACCTGTAATCAGAAAGTAAAAGGCAATAACTGACTTGATCCCCATTTTCACACTATATAAGCAGTTAATAACATAAAATAAATCATGAATTTTCAGCTAAAGCAAGAGGCCCTGGTTTATCAACTGAACTGGAAAAGGAATTTGCAAAGGGAGCCAAAAAACCTTAAAGCAAAAGCTGAAATTTTTATAACACATTTAAAAAATAGCGAGTCCATATATATGATCCAGGCATGAATGTTTCAGCGTCAAAAGACCAAGGCAAATACATAGACAAAGCACACTTAGTTTCATATAATAATAAATTAGAACAATGTCCATATCAATTGTACCTTTTGTTCGCCTCATCAGAGTCACCTTCATCAATAAAACACACAAGTTCATCCAAAAGTGCAGGCAATGCAGCAGCAAAAATTTCTTGGTTGTCAGACCCAGTCTGTGCATGGTAAAACTGCAAAGCAGAGAGTAACTCTCGGCCATCAGTTTGATAGAGAGCAAAAGCAAGCACTTTAGGCAGGCAAGTAACAATCAGTTGCACCATATCTGTGTTCAAACGCTTTGCCAACTCATACAAGGTGGCAACTGCTTGATCATTATCCTGCTGAGTGACCACGAGCTTTGGAAGAACAACAGGAATCATTTTCTTGACAAGTTCTTCCGTTTCAACACCAAGAAGAGACTCTGCAAACTCTCTGACCATGTTAGGACGGGTTAGAAGCCTCAAAGATAGATAATCATACAGTTCATTCCGAATTTGAACAACTCTTGAAAGGATTAGTCCAAATCCTCCTTTAAGATGGAAGTAGCAGGATCTATGTATTAACCTTGACGCAGTCATTCTCACAATCACATGTGGATTATCAAGTTGATCAACCAACAAAATAAGAGATAATAAAAAAGATTGACTGTAGATATCAAATGCAATCATTATTTCTGCTGTGGACTCCAAAAGTGTCTCGAAAATTTCAGGATCATCAGCTGCTGCCAGAGAATGTTTTATTTTGTCCAAGAACCTTTGTTCTTTGGTTTTATTTGATACCTCCCTATCCAAAAATAAACAGTTTAAAATAGGCTCCTCAAGGAAAAAACTGATCTGTGTGCTAAATGCTTCTCTCACAGCCTTCTTTCTGTGAAGAAGTAATGCTTCAACACATTTAATCCATCGAGATCTTGTTTGAAGCAGATTATCTGCAGTCACATGCATAAGGATCCTACGAATTATGCCAGCACAAGCAACTTGAACCTCTTCAGACGACTCATCTGAAAGAAGCTCAAAAAAGAGAGACTGTAGATGGATAAAATCACAGTCCAAGCCAAATTCTATCGCACAATTCTCAGGTGGATGCAAAACTGCAGAATGTAACTCATGATTGTGCACAACTCTTCTGTCACACTTCGAGCACCAGAACCCTCGCAATAGATTATCTACTGACCAATTGTCTTTCTCATTCCCCTTCTTCAAGAATAGTTTGCATTCAGTTTCTGAATGATCAGCAACACCACTACAAGATGCGCTAAGGCATGCCAAATAACCAAGAGATAGAGGAATAACTTTCTTAACTTGCTCGTTCTTCTCTTTCCCAAGGAATCTGAGATTCAGAAACAGGAAACATTTAGAAGGAATAGATTCAAGGGCCACAATTAAATCTAACAATTGCATTCCATTCACAGAGCACCTCACTTAGTTACCAGCTAGATTCTATAAAGCCATCATGCATTAATAGCATGAAAAAAAAAAAAAAAAAAAAATGGCCATAATCAGTGTTGGTTAGTACCTCCACCAGTCCATCCAAACCAAAAACTCAACCCAAAAAAATGTAATTGTAAATTAATAAATTTATATATAAAAAATAAAAAAAGCAACGGAGGGTGTCCCCACCCCTTTCAGGGGGGCAAGACTAATCACCCCCTAGATCACGGGTATCGATTAAGGCGGAGACTTGACAACTCCAGAAGTTGAACACAAGACCTTTAGATCATGCTCAGAGGTCTTATGCCAACTCGGTTACCCGTGGGGTGATAAAAATTAAAACCCCACCCAAAATACATAAAAGAATACTTCTTTATGAGGTTCTAACTGCACATTGCAACCTTTTTGTGATACCATGACATGTTTTCTCATTTTATCTTTACTGTAACATATAAAAGCATGATAATGACCTGTACATCATGCACATTTTTTTAAACAAAACAAGAACAATTCTACATATAAATTCTTGAGAGTCCGAATTAATATGGCTAGACAATACAAATTCATATTTCTTTATTTAACTTTATCTAAGACCATACATAGTACTATGTTCTTGATCACAAGCTTTTTCTAATAGCTTCTTGAACCAAGCTCATTTGAGGCTTCATCATGTCTTACAGGCGTTCAGTTGTGATACATATTAGTGACGAGAGTGCAGCTAAGTCATGCCAAGTGGAAACCAGAGCAGTACCATGAGTGGGAGAGGAAGCAAGAGCAGGAGAATAATGTCGAAGTCTAAAATTTTGGGAGAGTCTAAGCATCACTGGAGTCTGTATGTTGCGTGTAAATTTACTTACCCCAAAAATATATAATCATATTAATTGATTATATAAATTATTTTTTGACCAACTTTTATAAAAATATAAGATGAGTGTAAAAGTAATTAATAAAAATCTTGATTAATACTATTATAACAAGCAAATGGATGTCAATGGTTATTTTAAAAGATAAAAAGATATTAGGGCCAATAATGGCTTAACATAATCATGCATTATAATAGATTTAATAAATTATTTAGTGGATTTTAAACACAAAAATAAAGTCTAACTGATAAGGTCCTGTCATTGTTGTGATCTTTCACAAGATCATTGACTCAAGCCTCAAACTCGAACTTTTTCATTTTACATTGGATAAGCAGAGAGAAGTAACCGGATTCGTTTGAGATCTACGCAACTTAACTCTACTCAGTAAAGCCTTTTTTGAACTATTTGGGATCCGCTACATGAATCTATTTCATCATTTCATTCACTGTAAGGTAACAGCCCTATTTAACAACATCTATCTCTCTTTCCTTATTATCTCGACTTAAATTAGTTTTGGTCTTCCCCTTCTCCTAGTACTACAATCAATAAGAACTATGTATCTTTTTCTAAACTGGTGCAGTTACTAGTTGTTGTTGCACATAGATAAACCATCTTAATCAATCATTTCTCATTTTATTTCCAGTAGGTGCTACTCCATCTATCTCAAGAATATATTCATTTCGAATTATTCCTTTTCAGCTTTGCCACACATCTATCTCTACATTAGGAATTTCACATCATCATTTTATGAATGTATTGTTTCTTAATTGCCCAACATTATGTCTCATAAAAGTATGGCTGGTCTAATAGTTCTTTAATAAAATTTACCTTCCAAGATATATAGAACATGCCAAAAGCACTAATCCATACAACCATCCTGCTTTAATTCTATGATTAAAATTGTCTCCAAGTTCTCCCTCTCTGTGCTAATGAAGCCTACAGAACTTTGCTTTTGTTATCTTTTGACCCTCAATCTTCACTACATCCTTCTTGTAATTCTAGTTCTACGTAAGTTACATTTTATGTGTTCATGTTTTAGCCTTATTTACCTTAGAACTTATCCTTGCTCTAGTTTTTTTAATCACTTCTCTCCCAATGTTACATCATACGAGTCACTAAATCGATATCATGATAATTTGTAGAACTTTGAACATCCCCTTTATTTTTATATGTAAGTATTAAGTACTTTTTTTTTTTTCCTAGTTGGTACTCACACACACGTCTCTTTTGAGACTCGAACCCCGGACCTCCCTTTGGGAAGTGAAAGGCTGATACCGCTAGGCCAGTGGCCCGTTGGTAAGTATTAAATACTTATACACCACTCATCAAGTATTTTCTTAATTACTAGTATCCTATGGAAGAATTTTGTTAACCAAAGCACTACCCCATCAATAAAACACTCCCAAGCCTCAATAGAGAAAATTGCCATCTAGCCTACAGTCTTTTTTCTTCTCATCTTAATGCATTTTTTTACCTCCCACGCCTTTATCAAAAATATATATATATTTTCTCTAAACCCATTAAGATTACCAAACCTAGGATACAATATGATTTTTATTTAGCAACTTCTCAAATTTACTTTTGACATTTCTCTAATTACATCATATTTCACTAAGATCCTTAGATCTCACTCTTGATGCACTTAATACTATTAAAATCTATAGTTTTCATCTCCCTTGACTTATAAAGTTTGTATATATTCTTCTCCCTGTATAGAAACATTTGTTTTATCATCTTGAAAGCCAGTCTTAGAAATACCAAGAATTTAGCAGATCTTTTTGCTCAATTTGAAGAGGTTTCTGGTTTAAAAGTCAGCAAGGAGAAAAGTCGGATCTTCTTCTCTAAATCAGTAGCTAGAAAGAAGGGTACTCTGAGGTTGTTGAGATTTAAAAGTGGCTCTCGCCATGCCAATTATTTAGGGCTGCCCATGGTGGACAGAAACCTTAAGAAGGGGCACTGTTCTTCTCTGATAGATGAGGTTTCTACTAAGATTTCTGGCTGGAATGCCTCCAATTTGTCTTTTGCATATAGAGTAAAGCTTATCAAATCCTTTATTTCCTCTATCTATTACTACTGGGCAGTTGTCTTCTCTATCCCTGTGGTGCTTCAAAAACATTTGGATAGGAAATCTGATATGATAAAGGTGAAAATATGATCCAATCCAACTTACACTCCAACATAACAATATAAATACTAATCCAAATTTGAGTTAATCAACAATTGGAAATCCGTGACAATAGTTCTGTTCGATCCATGAGGATTCAAGAAACATCAGATATTGGGAAAGTGTGTAATTTATGAAATTGAACATGATCTGATTCAAATATTACAGCAGCCATCAAGTTACGATCAATAGAGAAACAAACCACACAGAAAATTTAGAATATTTCCAGTGTTTTATCTTAATCAAATAACATCACCTAGATCAAATGTCAATCTATTAGTTAACAAAACCAATCTGATCTAGATAATTACCTTATTTACAAGTCAGGACCCATAACTTGATCCAAATTAACGAGTTGCATTTGAACAAAATTCGTACATTTAAGGGCCTTTAACCCGGAGCGCTTCGTTTCCATCAACTTACAACTACTTCGTAGTTAAGTTGAAGGTAATACACGGACAAAACGAAGAGGAAGACTAAAAGAAGCATGGTTCAAATCTTTGAGAAAATAATGATGGTTTATGAATTAACAAAAGTTATGCTCCCAGATAAAGCTGAATCAACACTAAGGACCAAATTAAAAAATAAAAAATCACTTAGGGAAACTTGAGTAGTGAGATCTGGCTTGCTTGAGATGAGTTCAATATATTTCATAATGTATGCATAGTATTAATCTAAGTGAACACAACAAACTGCTCAAAACTTATAAAAATAAAATTTCGTTCTGACACCATTTTATTACATTGATTTGACAAGCATTATGATACATTTTCAATATGTTTGGAGATACTAATTATATTTCTCACACCAGTAATTTCACTTTTTTCAGATAGCAGCATCAGATATCTAAGTATTTTAGAATTTAAATCCTGAACTTAAATGCTGATTAATTCAACCTAATCTAAGTATTCTAAATGAAGAAATTCAAACTTGAAAAGGATCTTTCTGATTCTCCATAACATAGAACAAATCTGAACAAAATCCAACTTTTGGTTAATGTTTTATTCAAATCTACTCCATATACCCTTTCTTGTTTCAATTAATTTGAATCTGTTAAAAATAAACCATCTCTTCATGGTCCCATTTGCAAATTAAGATATATACTTTATTCATTTTGATTAAATAAATAAGAGAAACGTAAGTTAAACATGTCGGAGACATTTCGATGGCAAGGAGAAACCTATTTCTATGCTTAAGTTCTCCATTATTTCAACTCTTTTTTGTTGGGTCTCAGGGAGGGATTATCGTTTTGTTGAGGAGATTGTTATTTTTTTGGCCTCTTTGAAGGCTTGAGGCCTTTTGTGGCCTTTTGTTTTCTTGGGATTCGCTCCCCTTTTGAGCGCTTTTTATAAAATTCTTACTTATCAAAAAAAAAAAAAAAAGTCAAAAAGAAAAAATAAATGCCAGCTTCATGTATATAATTTTGTAAATGAAGCATTCAAATAAAACTTCATTGTCACGCACAGATAAACAAAAGATATCTATTGTTCACTTACAGAAGTCTTTTGAATACATGAGGCAGTATACCACAACCAGACCACAAGACCATCACTGGCATAGAAGCAACGGCTTCAATTCTAACTTCTTCTGCTTCATCATGAAGACCCAAATCCAATATTTCAAGACCATTTCCACTTTGTGATGTAGGTCCAATCTTGGCCAGAACTTGAATAGAGAGACACTTCATCTTCCATGGAGGATGGGATTCAGAAGAAACAATACAATGCGTCCATGGAAGCTTTAGCACTATTTGCATAAGATCTGCACCATCCTCATTTCTGAAACACTTATTCTCCATAGGAAGGGGGCCTAAATAAAAAAGATACAGTTAAATCAGAAAAGACATAGCAGAAAATATAGTAGATTAAACTAACAAACTTCCAGAGAACAAATTAGCAATTAATATAACAGCAGATTCAAATGATTCAGTCAACTCAATTCATTTACAACAGCAAGAAATTACAGCTAGGGGAATCTTTATATTGAAATTTTTGTTAATCTTATGATTCTAGAAGTAAAATCAAAGAGAGGAGATTCTATGAGCTGTAAAAACGAGGAAGTTTAAATTATTACCCATTTGAATAAGGTTTATAAATCCAGCCTATTTAACCGAAAATAGCATCCAGAGAAATTTTAAAGAAGCCATGTTTCTTCTAGATAAACTGCAAATTTTTCGCTAGTGATTATTCTTAGCATTATCAAAAACCATTTCCCATAAGCTACTCAGCCCACCAAATAAATACTTGATAAATCTTTTGATGAAGACTAGGTCCATGTGCTTACTTTCCATAAGCAATATGCTGTGAACTGCTTCCAGAAAGATGGATAAATCAAGTGATATGGAACTGCTTTGATTTGCCTGCAAAATGTAATCTTCAGTAATAGATGGGAAATGAAGGTAATGAACAGTTTAAAAATAAAAATAAAAGTAAGGAAAAATACTAATAATAAAAAATAAATAAAAAAACCTACCTGCTCACATATCCAATGGATCCATTCACGAATATGCCGAAAGATTACGACTGAAAGTTTTGTTTGTGGATATATACAGAAAATAATGCTCAGCATGCTAATAGCTGTCAAGGAAACTTCCGGTTTTAGTGAATTAGCTTTGCCACCGAGAGGTTTCAGAAATTCAACAAATGAAAAAAGTGATTTACGCATACAATCAACATATTCATTTTTTCTTTCAAAAGTACATTTACAAATGGGCTTGTTTGCATCCTGAAAATTAGAACTAAAAGCAAAAATGTCTTCATCTACTTTCTGGCGTTTTTTCTTAGAAGTGCCCAAGTCCTCAGCCGGTCTTTTTTCTCCAACCCTTAAGCTCTCATATCTATTATCACTTGAGGTTGATAAACCCATACAACAATCATTAGTGGTACCCTCTCCAGCAATTTCAGGACCTAGTATAGATAGAGCAGCTCGAAAGCAATCTATCAATTCGAAACAGGCCTCCGAGGAACAAAGCAAATAAATAAGAGATTCTGGCCTCCAGATATGAGGGGGGCAACATTTAGCAATTCGAATGTATGCATTGCACAAAGCAGCCTGAAAATAAATAAAAATTAAAAAAAAAAATCAGTCATTGTGTTCCTAAGGAATTAATTAACTTCATCAAGCTACTAGCTACCAAAATTATTTAATGAATTCCTTGCAATAATGAACCTGATTGTCAACTTGAGAAATGAATTTTGCAAAAAAATTTACCTGAAGGTCCGGACTTTTAGTTCTCCGCACTGATTCAGGAAAAACATTGACTAAATCTGCAGCAGTCAACTTGACAATATCATCAGGACAACTAGAGTGTAGTGCTTGAAGGCAACTACCCATAGAAGAATCATAAACCGTATTTCTGCAATTTAAGGTTAATATTAGCATCATAAGAGAAACTAAGTGATCAACATAGTTTACAACAATAAGAAGATAATGGAGATAAAGTTCAGCAAAAGACACCCTAAAAATCTCTCAAATCCAATCACATATCTAGGTTTAGGTAAGTTGAGACCTTAGAGACCGTCAAAACTAGGATTTGAATCATAAATTTTTTTAAACAGGTTGAATGAAATTTTGAACAAGAATTTTTTCACAAAATACAGAATGGTTCAATCGATCAAAATTTTCCACAATAGTTTTTAATGAAGTCCAATAAGCTTCGATTACAAAGTCAATCACTTGAAACCTGGACAGTGGCACTCGATCGAAGTGCTATCAATCAAAGTAATACCAGTGGCTCTCGATTTGTATCTTGATCAATCGATCGGCATGAAATATTTATGGAAACTCTCTCAAAACAAAATTTTAAAAGGATTTCTTTTCCTATTCCATAATGGAATCCTATATTGGCAACAAATATGGTATTATAGTCAGTCTAGGGTGTCTCTCACAACGTATTTAACTCTTTACATATTATTGAGAGAATCTACATATCTTTTAGAGGGAGAAAGGTTCAAGAATCAAAACTAGGGTTTTTCAAAGACTGCCATTCTATCTGACTGAGAGAATCAAAACAACAAGCGGAATTAAAACTATTAAATAATGCATTAAATGGGCGATTCGTAATGAACAAATTGAACCGACCAGACTAGCCATTGGAAATCAAAATACTAAAGAAAGAGCTGATTGCTTGAGGAGTGAGTTCGTTGATTGATAGCAGCAGAGATTGTAAAGGATCGCCTGGCGTGAATCTGTGTCAAATATAACTAGGTGATCCTTGGAATATAATCTAGTCAACCTAGTGTATGATACCTTTCTCGTAGTGGATTGTTCATGGTTGAACTAGATCCCTTAGTTTTTCCCTTTCTAGAGTTTTCCACGAAAAAGATCATGTGTGTGACGTCCCACATCACCTGGGGGAAGAAGTTCTTGGCACTTATAAGGAGGTATGCCTCCTACATATGTAGATGCATTTTGGAAATTGTGAGCACGGAGAGTATGCAAAGCGGATGGTATCTAGTATCTACACAGTGTGGGACGGGTCCTGACAGAGGGTATCAAAGCCAATCCCCAGCCGGAAGTGGGGGGAAGTGTGCACAAGCCCATGAGGGTCACACCAGCGAGGATACTAGGTCCCAACAGAGGGTCATTGTGAAGTCTCACATCGCCGGGGGGAAGTTCTTGGCAGTTACAAGGGGGGATGCCTCCTACATGTGTTGACACGTTTTGACACCATAAGCATAGAAAGTGTGCAATGCGGACAATATCTACACCGTGTGGGGCGGTCTGACAACGTGTTTCTAGTTTACTGTAGTAACTATTCAACGGTATTGAAAAGTTAATTATCCACAAATAACTCCCCTCTAGGTCCAACTAAACTGTGTGCTCTTAACATATTAGAGCCTTGGGTAACAGTCCTTAGATTTCTCAGAGCTTAATAAAGAGAGAACAAAAACAAAAAGCACCGAATTTCAAATACATGGAGTTTTACCTGAAAACTGGAAGACCCTCCTCTTCTTCACTTAATATAGTGGATATAGAAAGAATTAGTTTCTCACTGGGAACAATTTCAGAATTCATTACCGCTCCGATGACACGTGCAAAGTCAAAACATGCCTTCACAAATTTTGATTTGATTTTTTTTGAAAAAAAAAAAAAAAAAAAAAAAAGAAAAGAAAAGCCATTCATCCTGAGTGAGCTCATCAAATTAAATAAACTAGAAATCCAGGATAAAGGAAGGAAATTTTAGTCAATATGCCACTTACCATATGCAAATCAGCATCTCCATGGCATAACAGAGTGCATGCAGCCGAAACAAATGATGCATTGATGAGTCCTTCAACATACAGAGTTCCTTCAGTTATACATTTACAAATAAGCTTAATGACCCAAGTAGCAAAAGGCTGCCACCTTTGTTTTCCTGTGAGGTTAATCAAAACACCATAGCCATTAGCAGGTTTGCTGCAAGCAGGGAGATCACTGAGAAGAGCACCCTGAGCAGGTTCATCGCATATTCCTGTGAAGGACTTACAGAAACACTTCAAATACACTTTGCTTGATTCTGTTATCTTTGTCTTGTCACAGACTGAACCTACATACAAAAGATCTGTATCAAGACAAAAAAGTTAGCTTTACCCGGTTGGTCGAAGCATGGCTAGTAGTTACATTAGTAACAGGAAAAATCACCAAAGAAAGTAATAGGAAGTTGTTATGTGTTTTTCAAAAACTTTGTGCATATCCCAACCCCAACCCCCACCCCCACCCCACCCCCCAAAACAAGAACAGTTTATGTAAATCCAAGAAAATTACTATTTCACTGGCTACCATGGATGATAATATGTGTAATTTTTGCAGTGTGTGTTTCATACCTTCAACCGCCAACATAGAATCCATAAAAAACTGACGATACGCATCTCGATCTCCTGTACGGAGCAAGGATAAAAGGGATCCAACTGTTTCAAATATCACTCCATGTCGAGAACTGAAAAATAGCACATTCATTTTTTTATAGAGCTGAGGAAAATAAACTCGCTTGAACATACATTGTAAGCAAAAATGGAATAAAGCAATAACAAGCAGCAAAAATATCTGGAAGTGGTGATAACAAGCTGAGTGCAAGGAAGATTGGACCATGCGAAGTACTTCAAAGGATTAACGACAATGCATACAAGTTGAAGCTTCCCAGCCACATCAAGACATCCGATGTGTTCAATGTTTGTCATTTGATTCCTTATCAAGGTAACTCTTCAAGCGAGGATGATGCTAACTCGAGGTCGAGTTTTCTCTCACTTAGAGGGACTGATGGAGAGCAAGCGGAAGAAGACTATTTTCAAATAGTTGAACACTCTAAGAAGACGTGACCAAGTTTCCATAAAGAGGGCAGCTGATGATGAGTCCAATTATGTGATTGTTTTTAGTCTTTAGTCATTTATAAGTCTTTAATCTGTTTTATTTCATGCTTAGGATATTATTGTCATTTGGTTTTATTTTATAAGTCACGTGCCTTTTAAGTGAGTCATGTGACTGTTTAAGGCCTGTTTTGTAATTTTTAGCTCTTTATTCTGCTGGAGAGAATACTAGCCTTTAGATTACATTTATTTGAAGGGCTAGGATTATATCTTTGCTAGGGCATCCCTTGTCGCTTATAAAAGGGTTGTTCCAAGTTGTAATGAACAGCCTTTTAAGTATTATCAATATATTTAGTCTGTAGCAGCTTTTTACCTCTCCCTTTCTTTGGGATTGAGTTGTGGGTGTTTAAGTTATTCTTTAGCTTAACTTTGCTCCATGTTTTCCCTTCTTCAGATTTATTTGTTCTCTTTCATAGCTGATTGCATTATATATATATATATATGGTCTCATTTATGCTGAAAATATGGTTATAAAAATAATGGAATTCAAATGAAAAATAACTAAAAACTCTGGAATTTAAATTATAGACCTAATCCCTTAGTGCCCGTGAAGACACACCACGATCAAAAGGCAATACAACTTAAAGCCCCATTGATAAGGGGGCCATCTTTCAAGTTGTTAAAAACAGGTCAAAAAAAATGAACATTTCCATGGGAACTAAGAACTCAAAGAATGAACTTACACCAAATTCATAAACACACAAAAATTAGTATTTTTTTTTTTTTTTTTTGAATGACTCACCGAAATGCAGGTTCTGCAAAGAAGGGCAAAATGCGACCGATAACAGGTAAGACCGCACTGGGCTTGCCATTGTAGAAAACGCCAGGGAAGTTCTTGGCAGTGTGAGTCAAGAGCTTCAATACAGCGATTACCTCCCTCTCCTTGGCTGCCACAAAAGAAAATAGAAACAATCAATCCAATTAATTACATGGAAAAAGATAGATAGATATATATATATATATATATATATATAATATACATACATATTATGAAACTTATGGATTAGTTAGAGAAAGGTTTTGAGAGAGAGAGACCTTTGGAAGAAGGGACGACATAAGCGTGAAGGAGATTGGGGAGAACAGCGCGAAATCTGATCTCCAATGCGTCGTCGTCTCCGTGATGGTTCGGAGGTGTAGATGAAGAAGCTGCGATGCGTTCGCGAAGCTCGTGAACTAGGCTTGAGAGATTTGCCATCTCTCTTCCTCTCTCTACTCTCTTACTTCCCTCCAATTTCCAGGTATATGGGGTAGTAATAACTTCGAGTTCAGGACTGTTTGGAAAATTGGAGGGGGGAAAGGGAAAGAAAATAAAGGGAGAGGAAACATTAGGTGTACTGTCCGGGCCGTCCGGGCCGGCCCAAGCAGGTCCGGGCCACTGGGCTGTTTACGAATCCTATGGCCATGCCGAAAATCAAGAAATCAGGCCAAGCCCTCTTGCAAAAAATGGCTCAAGTAAAGAACGGTAGTTTCGCTTATCGGAATGATTGGCGGTGCTTATGTTTTGTTGATGGATACTCCAATGCTGGGGCTTTGCCGGCCGCTTCTCATTCCCTTTCGGCACATTTTCCTTCACCTTCAAGCCGTCCTCAGTTTGCGTGGTGTATGGTGACGTGTCCCCATTTCCCTCACACGTCAAAGTTAATTTTGACTAAATTTGTGGTGGATAGAAGTGACCGCCCGGCGACAATGCTGTAATATCCATAATTTTAAAAAGGTTATTTCTAGAATTTCATTTTTGATTTAATTGTCTTTTTATTTGATTAATTGTTTTATGGTTTTATTGTGGTGATTAAATTGAATTAATTGAGTTATTTTTAATTAATTATTTACTTGGACTTAATTGTTTAAGTGTATTTAATTATTTAATTGGTTTTTCATTATGTTATTTTACTTAATTGGAATTTAATTTTTTTTTACTTGATTTAATTATTGAACATTTTTAAGTTACAGTTAATTTTGGATTATAATTTACGTATAGGTAAGTCGCCGTAAGGAAACATAGATAGTTTCATGGGCCGACTAGGATTAGAATTAGGACTTAGTCTAATTATTCATGGACTAGGGTGATTAATTTACACCTATAAATATACGCAATACGATGGTTTAGGGTTTAGAAAAAATAAACGTAAGTTCTGTAAAAACAAAGACTATGAGATACAGAGGGAAAACAGAGAGAGAACCGGAGAGTGAACTTGGGTGATTCACAAAACAGAACCAATGAGGGGAGTTTGGTGTGGGCTACTGGACTATAATAGTAGCAGCAAGAGCTGTTTAACACAACCAACGTGGCCGGAGAAGATAGAGGCAACAGTCAGAGATTTTTTATTCAAAGTCTCAAAGGCAAGTCTCTCTTCTACTCTTTCCCTTTAATTTGTGTTCTGTGCATGCCTAGGTAAACTCCAGAGATTAAACTAAAGCTTAAATACATCTTTTATGCATGTTTAATCGTTATGTAATTCTTGAAATAATCTGTTCTGAGTTGTTTTAAAAGTTAAGTCTAAAATCTTGTTGCCGTTGCTTGCAAATTTATTTTTCAATTTAAGTCTTGGTTGTATATTATGGTCTAATGATCAAACTGGAACTAGGATGGACATTAAAACATGTAATAAAAATTATTACAGAGACTACAAGTACTGCCAGAGGCGAGGAAGAAGACTGAGAACTGACTACGGCTCCTAGAGATGAGAGTAGGCTCCAAAAGAGGAGGGAGCCTACTCCCACCAAGCTAAAGCCGGCTCTTTAGGTTGAGAGCAGGCTTTCAACAGCCTAGAGCCAGCTCCCAAGGGTGGGGAGCCGGCTCTCCTTGCAACAGAGCAGGCTATCAAGTTTAAGAGCCTACTCCCTCCTTTAAAATCGTTAAAAAAAAAAACTAATTTTTGGGACTGTTTGGCTAACTGGGTTTTTTCAAAAACTGTTTAAAGGCTACTGGATGGTGTAAATCATTGCTAAAGACTTATAAAAATGTTGGGAAGCGTGGTTACATTTAAATAGGGAGGATGGAATTAACATATGGACAAACAATGAACCCGTATATGGAAGATTGGATAAATAAATTAAAATTGCCTACTGTTCTAGAAATTTTTATTTCTCTGGATGGTGTAATTCATTGCTAAAGACTTATAAAAAATGTTGGGTAGCATGGTTACATTTAAATATAGAGGATGGAATTAACTTATGGTTAAATAGTGAACCGTATAAGGAGGATTGGATGAATAATTTAAATTGCCTATAGTTTTAGCAATTTTTATTTCTCTGCATGGTTTTAAAATATGAATCATGTTTCAGCTGTGATATGTGCATATAATTGTTTAAATATATGTCTGCTTAGATGGAATTAACTGATGTTAAAACTTGCTATACATTGCATCAGTTATGGTACTGTTTGGAGGAGTTGATTTCGTAATCTTACTTTATCAGTTTCAAGGACTAGAATAGGATTTCTAAATCTTATATTGAACGCATAAATTGATTATACACATGTTAAACTATATATGTGTTTATTTTGGGATGTGGTTGATGAATGTTTTATACTGTTTTGTCAACCATGTTAGCTGGAAGATAGTATGCACCGGTATGGGACGGTGGCATACTCGGTATGGATTAGTTCAACACTAAGTTCTACCCAAAATGAATTAAGGTGTGGATTAACCATAAAGGTTAAGTCCAACTCCTGTTGGTGTCAGGTCAGTAAATAACTGAATGACATAACTTGGTTTCTGGGATGGATTGTTATACATATGTCATACCACTATACAAAATGGGTGATATTTTGTATTGGGAGGACATGGACTTTATATATATATATATGATATGGTACTATGGTATGAGTTTAAGTCTCAAGACCATGGTTAGGGTGCGTATATCACCTAGGATGGATAGCTGGACAGTAGTTGCTGTTCCTTGGTAGGTCTAGGTACACATGACCACGTAATGTGCGATTTGCATGGTATCTCTACTCAGTCTGAAACAGACCTATTGGACTAGTGAGCGTTCTATAGTGTGTAATATATACATATATGGACTACTCTAGCTATTGTTGAGTCTATCTAGGATGTATCTGAGTATCGAATTCCTGTTTGGATCGTAGTAGAATAGGATTTGCATGTGGGCCTGACCCACTCTCTTATTTTACAGGTGTTCGTCAGTTTCAGGGTTAGAGCTTGGTTGTGCAGAGCAAATACAGACTTCTATTTCACCGACTACGTAGGACTGTTTACTTATTAGCTTTGGATCGTACTTTAGTTATTTTATTTTACAGTTGGGATTTTTATTAGGGGTCCACTAGATGGATTCCCGAGTTGTTAAATAATTGGAGGTTTTGGAGTTTGAATTTTAATAATTATTTTGAGGATTTTTCATTAGAATTCATTTTAGCCGTTATTATTTATTTCTTATTCTTTAAATTTTGTATTCTGTGTTCATATTAAATATTAATTATTTGATATTCCCTTGGGTTTGGGCCTGATCAACCCGTGTCTCGGATCTGAGGGGTATCACAAATGTGCTGATACGCTTGGCCACGTTTTCTGTTCCACTTTGGTGGCCGATATTAAAACCACTACCTGTCACTTCTTTGGAGTTGGGTTAGTCCAAATATAAGCCCAATTGTTGTTGGGTCGACTGATGGGTAGTCCTCTTACTGCTAATTATATCTATGATTTGGCCCATGCGGTTAATACTAAGCCAAATCTATATCGTGACATCCATGGGCAGGTGTCTAGGTGTCGTGCTCCGCTCTTCCCCTTTGATCTAGGTATTATGTTTGTTGTTTCTTTTTTAATTCTAATTTTCTCTGTGTGTTGTATTGGTGTCTATCTTGCCTCAGAGTTGGATTGGGTTTCCTTGGGTCCTTCAGTGGTTGGCGATAAGGGTCCACCGGTAACCTTGGTCTATGGGGCTTGGAAGCCACCCCGCACCCACCACAATGGCTACGACAATTTCAGTCACGACGTGGCCGAAGTCCTTAAGCTTTGGTGTTTAACGCTCTATTTTTTGGTTGTTCATGGCCATGATGCTATCACTATTGGGAGCCCTCTGAATAATTCTTTCAAGGAAACACATGCTTCTCACTAGATTTCTTTAGGTCATGCAACTACCCATCAAATCCCTTTGTGGGATATTTATCACTTGTTGCAGTCTTGGTTGTTAGGGCTGCTGTATCGCTCTCATGGTGTTCGGCGATTCGGGTGTTCTCCGATTCTGGTGTTCTCACAGTTTTGGTTAGTGCTGGTGCATGGGAAGGGTACTTATCCAGTATGTTATGGTATGTTCGGCTCCTTCTTTTTGGCTTCTATTGTTGACGTCCATTCCATGGCTGGGCTGGTAGGACAGTCATATGAGTCTAATGCTATGTTAGCCCACACTTTAAGCCCAATCTTATTCTCTACGCTTCCTCATCCATGTGTTGCATTATGTATGTCATCTCAGTTAGGCATTGTTTTTAGTTGGAAGTCTTTTTTTGCACTGTGTATGTCATATCAGTTAGGCACTGTTTTTAGTTGGAAATTTTTTTGTGGGTCTTGTGGTCCTTTCTTGTTGGGTTGTTCTGTTTATTTGTTTTGGTTGTGTTTTGTGTGTAGTTTGATTTGTCTCTTGTAGATGCCGTAGGGCATTTCTATTGCTAGGCCCAAAAAAAAAAAAAAAAAAAAAAAAACAAATGGTAGTCCTATTTGTAATAATTGCAACATAAAATATGTAAAATACTTCTAAAGATACTACATTATATTTATATGTATTATTAATTTAAATTTTGTTAAATATTTATTATTCGTGATTATAAACAAATAAAATAAAGGACAATAATGACCTCCTACCCCATAGAAGGAACTTCCTTCTTATAGCTGATGTGGGCCAATAAAATTTTGACACCTAACCTAAGTCACACGATCCTTCTTAACAGGTGCCATTCTCATGTTCCGAGCGTGCTCTTGCTCTCACGCTCTGCGCACACTCTTACTCAAATTCTCACTGCTCATGACTTAATTCTGTCACTCTCCTACTCCCGCTCTCGAATTCGCTCTCGCTCCTGCTCCCGCTCTATGTAACTTAGTACCTAACCCAAAGTTAAATAATTAAAAATCAATACTAAAAAATCAGATCAACCCGTTTTAAACGGGTTAACGGACTAAAATTAAAACCCACAAAAAAATCCCAATTTTAAACTCATTGTTTCTCTCTTCTTTCCTTAATCGATTTTCTAACAAAATAGCCACACTCATGTAATTTAAATTGTTTCTTTCTCGTTCACAATCTCTCTCTCTCTCTCCCCAGCTTTGGCCCGATACAGATTTAGCCAAAAACAAGGCTTGTTTCAAGCAACAATGCCAAATATGTGTGTGTGTGTGTGTGCGCGCGCGCGTGCGTGCGTGCGTGCGTGTAAATCTGTAATATCAAATACAATAAAATAAGAAGAAAACAAGGGGCAACATGTGATAAGTGCACAAAACTTGCTACTTTATACTCAAAAATAAATGTTTAATAAATTTTTTGTAATAGTTAAATATTCTTATACCTATTTTTCATGTTTTATAGGAGCTAATTACATAATGAGAATAAGAGGTTGAATGGAAAAAATGTGAGAATATAAGAGTTGTAGGAGAGATGGTCC